ACCAAGCCCACCAGAAACCAACACATATCACTACTATTTTGACTACCGTCCAAGTTTCTATAACGGTCCTGATTACATTGACGGTGCTGCGCACGCCATTGAAATACCATTCACTTTCGGGCACGTGATAATGGCTGGTATTGGTTCATTTGAAAACATGTCTGTATCCGCGGATGAAAAACAGCTCAGTTTAGACATGTCCAGATACTGGACAAACTTTGCTAAGTCAGGGTAAGTCACTAAGTCTTCAAAGTTCACCTGCGCATGCACACGCCGCAGACGTCCATAGCTTGTCCTTGTTTACAAAAATACGTCTACCCATGAGCCTTTGCGTTTTTAGCGCTCATTACAGGACTTTCAATTGTACCTTATCACCATGTGCCACAATAAGTGATTCTTAATTTGCATACATGAATATTTCAAATTGACGTAATATATAATTTGATAAAACATGTGGACGAAATGTGCTGACCTTAAAACTATATAATAATAGACCGTAAAAACACTTTTTTAAGAGAAGAGTAGTAATAGAAACACCACGAAAAAGTATGGGTTTACAAAGGCAAGCCCACAGTTTCGGTCACAGTCGAGTAAATTGCAGGAGGGCACTAGTTGGCATTTTATTCGAAACTTTGTCAATATCTGTTAAAAATTGGAAATTGATGCAAAATTTAGGATTTTATAGAAAAACGCTAACCACGTACAAAGTGCATTTTTTGCAGAAAGGATGGCATTTAAAGACTTAAAATTCACCTAGCTGGCCATATTTTGGACCGTCTGTCGATAAGACAACAGGGCACCATACAGCAGACTATTGCAGTAGTATATCCACATTTGTCCTAAATGTCCCTACAAAACTAAGTAAACTGACGCAACCGGGACTTACCGATCAAAATTACAAGTTTTATCAGTATTCATTAAGTTAGTTAGCACGTCATTTTAGGTGGAATTAAAATTGCGAAATGAGTTGCATCGTCATTGAATTCCATAGCACGTTTATTTACAATAAAATTTACATACCACCAGAATTTACGATGTAAAATTATTACTAGGGTCTGTGGAAAACGGTGGATGTTAAGAGATTCATCATTATCTTCGTTGAATGTTTTCAATTATACGCAAACT